TAATAACAGGGAGTTTCTCCCTGCATCTCCAATAATCCTAAATCAAAGAAAACACTTATCTCACACTTAGAGATCTCTGCGAGTATTAGCCTCTGGTTGAACTGCAAAAAAAAGATGACAGCCAGTGCCAGTTTTGGTGGTGGATTGTTTCAGAGATTTAACGTCGTGTGTATTTCATATAAGCTACTGAATAGCTTTCAGTTTAAAGACAGGCTCCCTTCCTCCCCTTAGGAGTCCACTAAGCTGTCCAGTATCCATAGAATAATGTTATTACATTTAGTATTGTTTGTTAAGTTATAATTTTCAGTCTAAAACCAAAATTGCTATATGGGACTGAGCTGCATCTCCTGTAAAAGTAAGAACTCTGCGTATTTTCTCTTATTGATTAAAGGTGTTTTTTTTTTTTCTCCTTTAGTGTGTGAGATTTCTGCCATAGAGGGACTACTTTTAAATAATTTAGAGATGAAAACATGAAGACAGTTATCAAATAAAAAAGACAAGAGCTGCAGTGTAAATGCTGTTTTTTATGCTGTACAACCTCCCCATTTTTTTATGACTTTAGACTGGTTCCACAAAACAAACAAACAAACAAAAAACTATTGTTTTGCATTTCTTACAGGGCAATTTTCTCACCCTGTGTCACAAATCCTCTAGTTTATAAAAGCCTGTGTCTATTTTCTGTGCGGACGAAGATTCTGGAGAGATATATTTAAAGTTCATTTATTCTCCATTTTGTTTGACACAAAACAAAGGTTAATTTAAAAATAAAAGCAAAATAGTCTAATTCTTCTAATAGAGTCCACGTGGTCTTTTTAGCCTTTCTGTATCAGTGCCTCAAAAATAGCAGAACTGCTATTAATTATGAGCTTATACCCACGATAAATGTCTTGTATTAATAGATCAGATTTCGTAGTTCTTTCTCTCTGATTTAGCTGTGCTTACGAAATTTGCATTTTTGTTACAATACTTCAACAGTTATCTAGTTTTTTTGCTAAAAATTGCTGTGAAATAAATACATAAGCTTTTAAACTTAGGTAAAATGTGTTGGAGCAGATTGTAAGCATAATGAAAGGAGCTATATAAAGTGTTTTTAGTTTAATTCATTTTTGTATATTGAGATGTTTAACATGCTAGGCTGTGATCACTGGAACTTGCAGTTTCCATCCTGAGAACTTTAGCATATTTAAAACTACCTTGCATGCCTAACTCTTATCCAAATAAAAAGATGTTTTTTCTGAATTACTCCATCAAAGGAAATGTTATTTCCATAAAAAGGAAATACATCCTGTAATGCCGTATTTGGCTCTAAAATAACCCCTCCTCTCCCCTGCCTTGTCTACATGAGGAAATTGTGTAGTACAGTAAGAGCTGATCTGTAGTTAAACTGAGGCCCAGATGTGCACACTGTATGCAGCTGGGGGGAAGGGACAGAGTCTGATTTGGACTAGCTCTGGTCTGGTGCTGTGAACTGGATGTGCAGGAGTAGCTGGAGCACATTAAGTGCTTTGGATCATGCGTCTTTCAGCTTTGTTTCATTTGAAAGGAATCCAGCTGTGCGCAGAGATCTCTGCCCTGCGAAACAAACAGAGTAAGCGGGCGTGAACAGGAGATTCCCTTGAAAAGTCTAATCCCAACCTGAAAGTAAAGACTCATGTAGGTGTGTGCTTTGTTTAGATGGTTCCAAGAGCAAGCACATTAAGCCAGACTGTCAGGAAATAATACTTTTTTTCCCTTTGCTTATGAAGGTGCCTATATTCACTGACAGTTTGGAAAACAAAAACTAATAACAACAAAAACCCAGCAGTGCATATTGTGTGTGCAAGGGTGCACAAGAATGCACAAGAATGCGAGGGAAACATGATGCAAAACAAGAGGTTACACAATGGAAGCCACTTTTGCTTAAATTAATAAGGAAAGGCAAATTTTGTGTTTCAAGAACAAAATGGAAGGTACACGGACAGAAATGGATTTTCTTTATATGTAGTTCTACTGTTTGAAAACCATCAATGTTTACCTTTCAAAGTCTCAACTAGGAGAATTGTCTGTGAATTAAAATTCCTTCTTACAATGCAGAATCTCTGAGCCTGATATATTTAAGATCTTTCATGAAATCCAATATATCACTTACTTCTACAGCATTTGTTGCAGACAATACAGTGACGGCATTGTTACTTGTATTCTTTTTAGTCATTTCTGTAAAATACTGTAAGCAGCTATGCAGAGAAATATGGCAGTTCTGTAGCAGTGATGGAACTGAAGAGGGTTATATAATTCAAACACTTGTGAAATTAATAAAATTACGGATTTCTTGCCAAGACTTGTCTTCAGAGACTGCAGTTGTTTACAGAAGCTCCAGCAGATTCCCGTGAGGGAAGATGATGTGAGGAGGCGGATTCTGCGGTCTTGCTCAGATGAAACAGGACTTGCTCTGAGCAAGGAGTGCATTAATTTCCAGGAGACAGCCTAATAATGGAATACTAAAGTACTGACAGAATTGGACCCTACATTTTTATGTTCAAACTCTGACTGAGTAGCTGATTGCACGGTGTTTTATTGCATTCATACTTGGTACTGTTCTTAGTGGAAAATAACACAGTATGTGACATACAACAGGTAAAAAGGAAAAGATGCAGGTAATTTCAGTTTTTATACAGACTTTTCACTAAGAATAGTTAATCAAATGAGCAGGGATTATGATGCATACAGAAAGTTGTTACCAATGCAACAAAAAGCCGTAGCACAAGAACAACGTTTATAAAGCTTTAAATATGTAGATTATTTGTTTTATATACGGGGAATTAATCCAGCACTGAAAACTATCATTTGCAGAAAAATATGTAAAACTAGCATTCTTTAAACACAAACCTGCTGTCCCCATTTTCTGAACCTCTTTATACAAACTGGCATTCCACGTGTGAGACTGCCATCTTCACTCAGTCGGCGTGCCTGCGGGTCAGCGGGAATTTTGCAGGAGTGCAGGCTAAAGCGAGGCTTGGCAACCTGGGGAATGCACGGCAAGCAGGGCTGGCAGTTCATAAAAGGCTGGCAGCAGAGGTGGCATGGGGTTAGGAGCAGAGATGTATTGAGAGTTAGCAAAGAGAGGCAGTATTTTCTTGTACAGAATTCAGCAGAGGCTCCAGACCTTAGACATCTCTCCTTCTTACCAGCTAATCTTAAAATCAGTTTGTATTTGACATGGTGTGGGTTTTAGGTTCATATGAGGTTCATGTCAGTGTCCTCAACCTCTCATTTGGGAATGCAGAGTACAATCTTGTACACCACATTTGGAAAATCTCTAACCCCCGAACATTTGAACCTTAGTATCTTGCTGTGAACATCAGGTTTTTAATTATATTTTGAACCTGAGTAATTCTAACCGTTGCTTGATTAAATGCTACCTGGTTCTCAGTTTTTTTTTTTTTTTTTTTAAAAGGCTACAGCCCTTAATTAATTCCCTGAAGGTTTTGTATTCTCTTCAAACTCCCAATCTGATTTTCTGTCTTACTGCCTGTTCATATGTATTCAGCAGCTAAGCAAGCATGCTAAAAACTGTTCTTGTAAAACATAAAAAGGCGTTTCCCTCCACCAACCTTTTGTAGAAAGGGTAACTGCAAATTACAGGGAGGGTGAGGATTTTTGCTGCCAGCTGATTTGAGACCTACAAGAACAAACAACTATACAGCATTTTTTTGCTCATGTTAATTTCATTCATTACTGTTGATTGAAAAGGAGCTTAGAATTATTTTTCTACAGAAATCTTTTGAGGTATGGCAGCCAAAATTAAATTAAATACTGAGATTCTCAATGCACATTTAGAGGCTGAAACATCCACAGCAGCACTGCTCAAGTTAGTTCTGCTCAGGTATGTGCGAGAGCTCCTCATCATGTCTGCTGGTAAAATCAGAGACAATTTAATTAAAATTCTGGATACAGAGGGAAAGCAAAACAAATTATGCTAAATGACAGTTTATGAGTAATAAATACATGAGTTATAAGCACTTTTTTTCTTTTTCTTTTTTTTTCTCTCTCTCAAAGAAGCAAGTATAGTATTATATACTAAGACCTGACCCCTACAAACACTTACCTTTGCTAAGACTATTCATTAGACAGCCTGGGAGTTCAGAGAGACTTCCCTAGGGAAGGTTACTTGTAAATAAATAGTGAGAAGGTGGTGACGGTTTTTTTTTGGTTTTGTTTTTAATCCTTCTAACTATCCTTCCTCAGATAGCAAAACTTTTAAATGGCTTTACTGAGAATTTCTGCAAAGATTGGATGTGCAAATTCACTTATTTCACAGTATAAAATAAAGAAAAATTTGACTCACCTTCTGTATAAATAGCTCTACTATGTTCTTAATTTTTCTCAATTACTCAGATTACCCATATGTTTCTTAGGCTGTAGAGATGACCTTATGTTTGTACAAAGAACATAGCAGGATGATGACTTTTCTCACTGGTGTGCGATGGCACTTTTGAAATGGTAACTTGCCAACTGGATGTTGACTCAGACATGAGATTTTCCAAAGGCGTGCTTGCTTTAGTGTATCATGTTTCCATCTGTTTGTGGATATATATATGTATTTGGCTAAGTGTAAAAATGCCAAGTACAAGTCATCCCATATGCTCAATGAGTTTTTCACCTGTTTGTGTGCTAAAAGGCAACAAGATGATATGGAAAGTCCCCTCTGAACACCTGCCAAGCAGGATTGTAAAACTCCCTCTCAGGCAGCCGAAAGCTCCTCTAGGTTACCTTTGGAGTTGAACAGGGGAACAACCACCTGGGGTTTTGCACACCAGCAATCCCAAGATTAAAGACAGCAAACTTTGAGATGGTGCAAACAAATCTTATTGGTGGATGGCATGTGATTACCCAGCAGGTGGGAGATGTAAATCAGTAGCTTGATGAGAATCAGGAGATATGAGAATGGCAGAGGGCTGCGTTCTCCAGGGCATGCTCTCTGTGAGTGAGTTCCAGGAAATTTGACCTTGGGTTATTTTGGTTGTTGGCTGATAGGGGTCTTTTCCTTGCTGTCTGAGCTTGATGGCTGGATAAATTTGCATTTCTTCTTTTTGTGTTTTATCCTGTGGCCTTTACAAACCAGGACTGATGAGAACAGGTGAGACTGAAATCCCATTGTGTTAGTGCCCTTCCTCCCCCTCACTGTTTTTTTTCTGGTGTGTACACATTTCCCTGCCCTTTTCAGAGAGTGTTTTGTAGATGGATCTTGGAAGATATATCTTCAAGGCTGTAAAAACAGGCTGTTGTTTCATAAATGCCCCTTTTTCCCCTTCTCTCATTTGCTGAGATAACCTCCAGATGGTTTATTCTTTTTCATTTTTCTGTGGCTTCAGTGTGGTGGACCTAAAAGGATCTGTTGCTTAAATAGAAGCCTCCCCTGCACTCCCAGTCTGCTTTAACTGATGCTATTTTTCTTTCTCTTGCACATGCTGTTTGTTAATGCATTTGCACAGGAAATAGTGCAAAAGCAAACAACGTAGAAGAGAGCAAGCAAGCATAAAAGAAGAGCAATTCCATGCTATTGGCTGTACTCAGCAGGATAGATGAGAGCAAGTGAGAAGGGCAAAATACATAAATGTATGTTTTAAATTCAGAACTTCAGTTAATGTGACCCTCTAAATAGGGGTCACATTTAAATATGGGTCACATTTTTTAGAGGGTTAATGGTCCTCTAAATATGGTGAGAAAAGGTTTATCTTTTTCTTTATCAGGGCAAACTGAACAGAGTTACAGTGATTCCCGCCCCCTCCCAGTTTAAGCTTGATTCTGGCAATGACTGTGAACAGTTATGGTCTCAGTGTTCAGTTATTGTTTTTAGGTGTCTTTCCAGTCTGTGCCTGCAGAACAAGAAAGACTCAAAGGGTCATAGGATTCAGTTCTTCGTTGTAGTGGACATCACATCTTGTAAACCAAGCCTCTATGCAACCTCAGTCTCTATATTTTATACATATATATGTATTTACACATACACACATATATATAATCTATTAACCGCACTTGTCCTGAAATATCATACGTAATTTAAAAAAAATTGTTTTTCAAAATTAAGGGCCTGAGCTCTGTTCACTGCTAGCAGAGGTGTCTGCTGACTTCCCTCATCTGAGAGCATTACTGCTAAATAATTTTTTTTGCTATTGCCAAAAATGTGGGATATAGAAATGAAAAATTGCTAGCTAAGTGTTTGTTTTCTTTAAGCTATTCTTATGAGAAAGCTATGCTCAGACCTCACCGAGCAGAAATCTGCTTTATTTTTGGTGTCTTTAATTTACTCATAGCTGGTTAACCTGTCCTTGAAAAGCAGCTACCCAGCTCACAAACTGATAGCACCTTTATTTTTATTTATTTATTTATTTATTTATTTTCTTGCATTATCCTAACTGCCTTGCAGGGATTTGTTTAAAAGTTTGTTTTAAATATGTCAAAGACTCTTCCATAAGTTAAATTATGGGAAAGGACAGATACTGCTTTGGCAAAAAGTATTCCACAAAGAATGTAGGAATGTGGTGGATGATTGATGATTGCTAAATTATAATGTAGTAAATGAACAAATTTTTGGATTTTTGAGTATAGGATGGAAAAGTCTTGTAGAGAGATATATTTCAAGATGTCTTCAATCATGTGTTAAACTCAGCTTTACAACATTGTTCATATCCATACAGAGGATATATTTCTAGGATACATTGAAAAGTAGTATTAATGTCCTTATGATCGTGTGTGTGTGTGTGTATGTTTTAATCTATGTCCTTTGACAGAAACTGAAAAGAAAAAAAAAATCTGAAAACTTCTGGTTTTCTCTCTCTCTTGATGATTCAGAACTACCATGTACCTCAGTGATTTTCTGAAATTCTTAATATGGAGATGTATAGAAGTTTGCAAGTTTTTCTGGTCTAGTCATAATATTAAGTCATTCTTTGTCCTTCCAGATCTAGATAATTTCCTAGATGAGAGCAAAACTCTGAATTGATTTCATAATAAATTTAGCAGTTTTAAAATTCATTTTTATTTTTTGAAATCGGGCTTTACGCAGACTACTGTACACAAGTTTTATCTTCAGCTGATTATTAAAGTTTTCTGAAAGGGGAAATATTCTGAAAGGGGAAAAGTGTTAACTTTGAAATGTAAGAGGAAATCATATAATCTCAAAAATATCTGCTATATTTTTGGTGTTCATGCACTAGCAATCAGGGAGTTCAGCAGAGATTTGACTAACGGGATAGGATAGGATTCTGAAATGTTCCTTGAAATTGTTTATAAGTATTTTCAGTCACAAATAAACAGGTAATTGCTTTGCTCTAGCAACGATCGTTTGATCTGTGTGCAAGGGAGGGTGAAATTTCATCCTATAAATAGGACAGCATAGTAAAAGTTTAAAACACAAAACAAAAAACCAACTTTATAATGCCCACGTAAGCACTACTTGCTGAGGAACTTTGAAACCATTAGTACATCCATAACTTGTAACAGAATTGCAGATCATACTTGCAATCTCTTTATTATACTGGTAAACATTGGGCATTGCTTCTATGCTCACCAAGTCATTCAACACTTTTTGAACTTATAGTTTCAAAGGATAACTGCTATAAAAGTTATTTATTTACATAAATTGTGTGAAAGTGGAAGGTTTGGTCATACATAGTTCTACCACATGATGTCCTCCTAACCTAGGTTACAATCAGAGAATGAATGCAATCAAATCTCAGTGGTGTGAAATACTGTAACATTCAGACGTGTGTTTCTAGAAATGGTATTGATCTTACTTACCAATTACTGTGACTCTAGAAAAGACAATTGTTGTAATTTTTATATTCACTGTGTATGAATTGTCAAGAAGTCTTTCAAATCTGAACAGTCTAAATATAGCCTTTTGAAATATCTGCATTCAAATCCAAAGTCTAAAAGGCTTAAGCATTCTCAATTTGTTCTACTTTAAAGAATACAGTCCACTTTAGTGTTATTGCTACTGCTGTTTTGTACAAACATTTTGTGCTACATATTTTTTCACCAAGAAAATTGAAATGTTGTACAAATTACGTAAGAGTTAGGATTAATGTTTTTATGAAGAAGTGATTTGAACAAAATTTCACCTACTTGTGTTTGAGGGATGGCACAAATACAGTCTTTAAATTTTGAATGTGACATTATTTTCCTTAAATTTCTGCCAAATTATTTCTTATTTTTAGTGATTTTCTTTTGGATGTCAAAAACGAGTGTTCTTTGCCATGTTAATGTAACAAATCTTCATCTACTTAGGAATTTGTGCATCTTATTATTTTGTGTAGTTGATGAGCGTTTGAGGTTAATCTTGCATCATGCTATTCCAAATAAAAGAAAATAGATTTTTTTGAACTAAAGGCGACCAAAGTTAGGCTGTAGGAGAGTCTGTGAGTCTTTAGAAGGCCTAAAGAGGAACGTCCACTAGAGGCCGATGGTGCACTTGATGCAGTTCAACCTGCCGTTGAACCCTCCCAGCTTTCACAGTGTTTAGATATTGACAAAAGATTTTTTTTTTCTTCATTTGCTTTATTTTCAGAAGAGTCAACTGGTTTGTTCTGTCTGTACTTCCATATAGATCCATATAGATCTCTACATAGTCACATATATGCATAAACATGCATTTGCAGCCATTTAGAAATGAACAGAAATGCAAGTAGAATTTCTTGTATTCCCGCTCATATGGTCTTTTAATATGAGGATTTACACAGTGCATAAATAACTTAAGCTAACACATGGTTTACATGGTGGCTGAGTAATAGTCAAAGGTAATTTGCCTAAAACAAATAGCTATTTTTTGGAGAGTTTTATTTACAAGTCTGAATCTTACTGTCTCCGATGAGTAAGAGCCTGCTGACACATGACATTAAAGTGTATGGGAGTTTTTGTTGTTGTTTTTAATATGGAATATAAATTTGAGTTAAAATGCAGTTTCTAATTTTTAAATGAGCCTATCTTCTTCCTTTGATAAAAGAGGGGATGTAGACCATTATTTGGGAAATACAAGGAACTGCTTCATGGCATACTCAGTAATTGGTCTATCCCTCTCCTCTAAATGCACTCAGTACTGTTGAAGTTAATTACACTAATCATCACAGTATTTAGGCACAAATTACATTCAAGTTGAGAAATGACAGTGCTGTTGTAACACACCAGTGAAATCTGTTCTGACAAGTCAAACAAGCATCTCTTTAAATAATAGTAATAAAATATTTAAATTGCACTTTAAGGTTTCTACTCCTATTTTTCAGCCAGGCAAAAAATTCAAGACCCTGATGTATATCAAATAATATAAATGCTTCCAGCATATCCAATATCACTGTGCTTTATAGATTAATGAAAGAAGCTGAGCTGCATTGTGCACAGGTGTAAATAGTTAATTATTTTCCTTTTTGCTATTTGAGGCTGAAGCAAAAGGGAAATATTTTCTTCTACCCTCCCAACCCAGCCCAGTTTGCTTCAGAGGAATGTTAATCAGCTTCCTAGTGCCAGAAGGCCACAATCACCAACTACTAATTAGTTTCAGATAATGATATTGGTAATGAGCCTCTGGTTCCTCAGAGGCAGTAGACTAAACCTGACTCAGATTTATTCAGTTATTTTTCAGTAATGTTACTATGACAAGAGATTTTATCGGTTTGAGCATGTTTAAGGCCAAATATTTTTCATTTAATGGTAACAGCACATCATTTCTGTACAGATTTTGTTGAAATAACAGTTCGTTTTAAATTAACTTTCCATTAAGCAATGATATTTGCCTTCTTGTTAGTCCAATTTTCTGATTACTCTCTAGGACATCTTTACTGTTTCTCAGGCAATTACCTAATCACCTGCAGTGAGAACACTAATTGGGGAAGATTCTTGAGTGAACTTTCTGCGGAGCTGTCTCTCTGGAAGGTTTGTGCCTAATTTAATGTCCAGTAAAGATGTCATATGGTCGCTTTTACTGGGCAGCAAGTGCATTTTGCTGTGGCTAGCCACTGGGCAGATGCATCACAAGCAGGATTGTTATGCATTGGCAGCACCAACTGTGAGGGCAGAGAGAATCGTTCAGTCTCTGATCCATGCAGAGCTATGGCCACACTTGTCAGATGTAGGGGTGTACTG